ATCATCACCACCACCACCGCCACCGCCACCGCCACCGCCACCGCCACCGCCACCGCCGCCATCCATCATTGCCATCATCATCATCATCATCATCATCATCATCGTCATCGTCATCGTCATCGTCATCATCGTCATCGTCGTCATCATCTTCTTCGCAGCGCAAGACTTTTTGCGGCGGTGAGAAGATCATCAACTTCATTATTGTCATCTTTTGTCATCAACTCATCATGTCATGTCATGGCTATGTTTGCAGTACAGGAGGATTCTGTGGATCATTTTGTTTGCAAATGGGGGAAGCTGGCACCTTGGAGTTTGCAGGCCCAGCCAGCCCTAGCCCCAGCCCCAAACACAAAACAGTTCACCAGTCCACAAAAATGTCAAATTGATTCTGGGCCCGTTTCCTTGAAAAATAGGACATGTTCTCGTTACAAGTCCTTTTAGTATCAGTTAGGTTCCACAGCGGCCTTGGCCTTCCCAGCTTGCATGTCAGGGCTCTGGCGCATCTACCAGTCTTCAGGCACCTCCACATCCCTTGGGCTTCAGATTTTTCATGCTTGTGCTACGCGGTTAGACGTAGCGTTGCCGCTGTATCGGAATTCTCGGCTTTCCTGATATTACTTGGTCTCTTTTCTTTGTGTCTTGAGAGCGCTTGATTCAACATATTGCGACAGTTTGTCGGCAAGAGGCCGAAAGTGTCAGAGCAGAGCAAAGTCAGGTCCCGCAAGAAGGTGTAATTTCCTTCTTGCTCAGACCATACCAACCACACAGGGTATAAACCCTGCCCCTCTCTGAGCATTGGTGCAAGGAAATCAGCCTGAGGTGTGTGCAAGCGTGTGCCGAAGACACCCTAAACGTTTCGTGGCAAGCACAAGTCAAGTTACCAGAACCAAGGCCGATCAAAGGCTAGCTGTCCTTCCTGGGAATGGTTACCCAGGCAGGACCCGCTCAGAATCCTACGAGTAGCTGCAGCTTGAATGTCACGTTGCTGCGCTTCCAGGCTACCTGATACTGCACTGCTTGAGCCTGGATCCCAAATGGTCATGCAACCTCATTTTGACAAGTTTTAGGACGATGCGGTAGAATCTGTGCTGCAGATCATGCACAGGCTGCGGAAACGGAACGAATCTTGGCTCTACAAATTGCCATGTACCCTAAAGGCTTTCTGCCACATGCCCATTGCCAAGTGTAAGTTCCAGCTCATATTTGGGATACCCTGGTCCAAGGCTGCGCTCAGGCGTTTTGCCGTCATCTGCTTATCACAAGCAGGCAGATGCCCAAACATTGCTGAGGAACAGACGCAAAATTGGTTGTCAGCCTGAGGTGGTCAGAGGCTCTTTAGGAGTGCCGCGCTTACGATCGCTGACAGCAACTACAAATGCCTGGTTTCGGAGTGGCAGAACATTCTTGACAGCCTTTGATGTTTACATGAGCAGCAGCCAGGTCTCTTTTTCCTCTGGGCTGTCATGCAGCCAGGACGCGAGATATCGGAATCCTTGATGGCACCTGCAGCAAGAGCGGTGTCGAGCAAAACGCAGTTTAGCTGAGCTGTGAGGAGCCAGACACGAAAGGGCCAAAGCACCAGCTTGTCCCAATGAGACTCCACTCATAGAGCGGCTTGACGGGAACTTGCTCGAGTGCGATGCAGTGTCATGCTGTCGCTGCAAGCTGCCTCATGAGCCAGTCCTGACCCGACGAAGGTGGCTCTCTTTTCACCTCGCCCTTTTGAGCGCCCAATTAGAAGTTCGAATGGTTAGATTGCACTCACTGTAACATCGAGAGAGTGCGCCAGTTGCCAAGCAACATGTATTTACTATTCCCTGCTTCTTTCAGCTCTGTTACGTGCTAACAGTGGGGTTGCTCCTCTCTCCGTGGGTTTCTTTGGCTCACATTGTCCACAGGATTCCAAGCCGATGTCAGTGCTACGGTATGTAGTCTACATTTACACGTATTTCCAGAAGAAGCTTGGAATCCAGAGCTCTGCAAATACTCTGCTGGTGCATGCAGAGCTTGTTTCACCAGTGCCCACCAGGAATTGTCTACCACTTCCCGCAAGCTACACAGCTTGCTCTGGAGGGTAGCTAGCAAAGGTTCAATAGCCGCATCTGTTCGGTATTCCGAAGACTCTCACACTGTTCCCCTACTGCCTTCTCCTAGTGCAAGTTGGCTCCTTTGCTTGAACCCTTGTGCGGTGCTAGCTGCTTTTTAGAAAGGCGAACGCCTTGTTTCACTGAGGAACCATACAGTCTACCACTATTATGTATTTTGGCCAAAAGGCGAGCTAGGGCCATACAGACAAGTATTCATTTGCTGCCTCTGCCGGATGATAAGCTACTGTACGCACATTTCTGGGTCACTATGTGTTTTTCTCTTGCCCTGCTATCTTGTGGACGTTGAAGAGCTTCGACACCTGCAAAGATGCTGCAGCATGTTTGAATTTTAGCACGTCTTTGCCGCCTCAGATTCCGGCATGGCCATACGGGACAACCCATATTTCGCCGCAAGCCAAAATTGCCGACTGCATGAAAGCCTTGTCTTCTGGCCACGGGCTTCAGCGACTAGTGTAACTTGAATCGCGTGCTGTTGGCTCTAGAGCGTAGGTGGGCCCTCACGCACGCAGCGATGCAAAACCACAACATTACTCCAACAAACCAGACCACACGAACTCAGAGTCAACATGCTTCGTGATGGCCTGAAACATCAGATCCGTAAATTCTAAGCATAAATAAAGAGCTCTGGACAGCCGGGCCAAAAGTTGTTAGCTAAGCCCAGTGCCTCTTTTCAACGGGCTAGAGTTTTCCACGGCATTGCTGGTTTGCCGGAGGCATACAGTTACTTTGCTGGGCGTGATAGGATCCTTAGCTGACCTGCTTCGCTAGTTCTGTCTCCCTGCCTCTCCCTTTCTCCATCTCCCTCTTCCTCCCTTTCGCTCCCCTCACTCTCTGACCCTCCGCACGGCTGCCCGCTCGTTTGTCTCTCTGCCTGCCTGTCTGCATGTCGGTTCATATGTCCTTCTGTGTGTCTGTCCGTCTGACTTTCGGCTCTCATGGTTTTCATCTTACTCATGTCTTTCTGTCCGTTTATCTCCGTCTGACGACCATTTTTCTCCGTATCGCTCTCGGTCACCCGAGCCCGTGCTTCCTCAGCTCACATCCAACCAAGACAGTGCTGCCCCACTGTCTGCTGCTTGTTGGCACCGCAGGCTTTGCTTTTCAATCATGGTGGCTGCAGATAGGCCTGCCATGCTGGGCGTGGGTCCATGATTCGTTCGCTTGAGCGCCATTGCACAGGGATGTTGCTATCATCAATACGCCGTCGCCCGAACCGAGGCCAGCCGATGCAAGCATGTCTAAATGTATTACATATGCTTACATATGCTGCATCATGTGCTCTTGAAGGGCTAGCATTGCAGGAGAGCGGGTTGTCTCGCCTGAGCTGCAATCGTTTGTTGACACTCTGATTCAGCAAGGTCAGGCAAACTAGCCGCTGATGGTTTTGATGGTGAGTACGGTATTGAAGTCTGAACCCGTCTCATGCCTTGTCACTCAGATCCAAGCTGCAAAGTCAAACTCGCAGAGATATCTCATTGGAAGCACATTCCCAAACGTAGGGCTTGCTCAAAGGCCATCCGTAAGAAGTGACTCCTAGGAAGCTTCGATGGGCGGACATGGTTGACACCCCCGAAGCGCCTGACAACCAGGATCGCCAGTTGGTTCACTTCGAGGGGCTTCAGGTTTGCACTTGCTAAAATTCGTGCCCTGGGTGTGGATGTTGTGAGACCAGCCTCGGTGTTCAACAGTTCCGCGTTCAGCAGTCACAGCTGCTTCCATAGAGCAGATTTTTTCAGACTTGATGCAGCCATCGATGCCAGAAGGATGCCTAGGGTCACACCTCTCTTTTTTAGCAGCTTCAGCGCAGGCAGATTGGATCCAGCGGATTTCGAAGCAGCACACAGTCACCTGCGACATCAAGATAACACCGTTTCTCAAGCAGGCCCGGGAAAAGTCTCTATGAGCTGTTTGGTCTGCATGGAGCGAAAAGTTGAGGCGGATGTTGGAGTCTGTACCCCCAAGCCGCCTCGTCCGGCCGTGCTCATCTTCACGCAAGAGGAGGGAGCACTCAGCTGTTCTGAGATGCAGTCCCATTGTTCAGTGCTCGCATTGATAGCCAGGAGGGCGACATTGATGAGCAGGAATGGGAGCGCAGAGCTGAGATGCGCTCGAAGGCTCGGTCTTAAGCAAGTCCCGTTGCGTTTGAAGACCGGGCATTTTCTGTGAATTGGATGCCTCACATGGAGCAGGCGATCGCACAATGCACAGGGCTCAGTGACCTGTTTCTCTTGACAAGGTCCTCTCAAGACATTTCTCGTAGGCAAAGCCTTGCCCGAGTATCAGAGGCGCAGCACGGCGCAGCTGTAGTACTTGTAACAGGATGCGTTGCGGGTGCGGACAGGTTCAAGGACCTCAAATCGAGCTCCAAAGAGAAGGATGAGGAACCAGGCACGCCGAACCCGATGGAACCGCCCTCAGCTTTGCAACATGGGTCACTTTGAGGCCGCTCGCAAGATCTCTTTAATGTTTTTGCTCCAATTGCAAGCTACAAGATGATCACGCTTCTGAATGCTGGCTAAATGCCATCAGTTTAAAACTAATGCCCATGTGATGCACAGGATCGGTCCATCAGCAAGAGGCACTGGAAGAATCTTGCCTGCATGAAATTAGCCCGTTGGAGACTTGACAGGTGGTGCCTACGTAGCCAAATTCAGTTATGTGACTTGTGATTTTGAAAAGTGATAGTGGAGTCTTGGGCTGGACTGCCTCAGCTACAGAGGTACAATCTCTTGCTGGGCTCAACAATAATCCGCGCTGATTTGAAGAAGCTGCTTGTCCAGACGTCGTTTGCGACAAGGTTTCTTCTGCAGCAGTGGCGTTCTGAGGCAGGTGAGATGGATTTTATAGACTATAAGCCATGGCTACAGGCCATGATCCCTTTTGCAACAAACCAGCTTTCGCCTGGGTCAGATTCAGAAGTGCGCCAACGAGCATGCGGAGTGTAATCAGGCGGGTGCTTAGAGCCGAAACAGAGCGGTGAACTTATTCCTGATGTACGGCTGTATTGATGCTGGCAGCTGGCATCATATGTTTGCCTCAATTCTGTTACTCCCTTTCTTATTTACTTGCTGAAATTCATTTTCTGACGACGCCTTGGGAGGTGTGATCTGGACAGTGATGAGGCATGACAGCAGTTGCATTTGTCGAGTCAGCTTGGATGCGGAGAGCTAAACACGCCATTGACGCAGGCAGCAAAATTTCAGGCGGGAGTGCTGTGTCAAGTTGCTACAGTTGTTGTATTGGAGGTAAGGGTGGTGCCAAATCAGAAAGTCCAGGCGCCTCCACGATAATGACTGCAATCGGACGGTGTCGTGCTCGGTGACTTGAGACACTGAAGACTTTGCCAGACTGTGAGTAGCACTGGATTACACGACATGTCGCCCCATATTGCCCAAGGTGTTCCATCGGCAGCGTGGGGTTTGTTGCTGAGGGCACGTAACGTCATGATTGAGATTTAACGAATCGAAAGCGCTCACACGCAAACCGATGCCAACATCCATTGTTTCAAGCTACGTGTTGCTTTCGAGATGTGTCTGACTAAAAGCACCTAAGTGGGGACCAAAATGGGTCACCAGCAATCTGAGGGCATTGTCCAGATGAGTGGGAGGATTCCCCAGAATGGTGGAGGAGAGTTATGGGGCGCAATGTTGACATGAAGATGCAATGCCACTTATTGGAGCCCTTCCCATGTCGCTCAACTAGATTGCAGTTGATTTTATTGTGATGTCGCGAGTGATGGTCGGTTTTCTTGATCAAGCAATATGTCTGTTTGTACTGGACTTACCCAGATCACTCACGGCTTCCATGTATGTTACATAATTGTAGCGTCGCCGCAGGCGGCGTTGCCGCATGTGCTTCCGCAGCTACTGCGAGTGTGATGTCTACACGCCAGCGTGTCATCATGACCTCAAGATGATGTCAGACTTGAATACAAGCGGAGCGATGAAGCTGCGTATGAGGCTTGCAATCTGCCAGGGACCATGCCTGGGGCAGGCATGCCAGATGCGGTATTGGCCGCAACGCCGTTCCGCGGAAAGAGAATACATTGTGGGGCAGAATGCAGTTTGCGATGGCGCTTGCCTGAGTCTAGCGATGGCGCTTAGCATAAGAGATTTGAGCAGGTTTGGCCCAGAGCAGTGGCACCCGGTTCTTGATCCGGGTCAGCCATGGCCGCTTCAGGCCAGGGGTCCGGCAGCAGTTGGCATGATCCTTTGATGGTTCTTTGCAGGTGCGTGGAGCCTGCAGCTCCTGACAGTCCTTGCCATCCTGTTACAGGTGCTGCAGCTCATACATTTTGAGTACAAAAACGTTCCATGGCCTCCTTAGGGGCATCTTCCGGAGGTGCGGGCTGATGTTGCCTTTGTGTCAGTCCCTGGGGCAGCCGTCCAGAAGAAGGCCAGCAAGCCATTTTTGTTCCAGTACGCCTTGCCACGAGCATGGCAGCGTGCAGCCAGAGAGAATCCAAGCATGTGTTGGAGGAAGTACGCTCTGTGCGGCAACTAGCAGATTTCCAAGCTTCGGCGGGCACAGGCCTTGCAACTGACAGATGCATGCAACTTTGTATGTCGTTGGTTGAGTAAATTGCATGGTTGCATGGTCTAGTTTCTGCAATCAATTCTCTTTTGAGTTGCGCTGATCTGCATCGACGGCATAGATGCTGCGCAGTCGCGCAGGGTGGTCTGGCAGCGCTTGCGCCACGCTTGCCTCTGCCGGCATTGCCGTGACTCTGGCCCTGTGGCATTGGCCTGAATTGTTCTCTTAGTGGTAGAACGCATTATAATAATGTCACGGTATTACATTGCCATGTATTTTACTGTTTGATCTCTGGCGGATCAATGGAGCAGTAGCCAAGTGGCCGAGGCGTCGATCCAATCGTGACGCGTCTCTAGTCACAGCCGGATATGCCCCGGCCAAGAATAGGTTCGAGCGTAAGTGGTGGTCTGGCACCCAGAATTGCACAGGATAGTTCCCACAGAAACGGGGGGAGGTAGCATTCTTATCGCAGCACAAAGGGAGCAGAGCTTTATTTGCAAGGTACGTTGAGGAAACGCGGGACCCCACGACTCTGCCGGTCTGGCAGCGTGACTACCGTTTCGGTTTCCAGGCGGGTTGTGACTCCTTGTGCACAAGGGGCAGGTAAGCGAACACGTAGATCTGGGTGGTCTCAGAGTTGCCTGGAGTGTCTTTGCCACATGAAGGAACATACCTCGCATGATGGCAGCTGCTCACGTTGCAGGTGCTCAGACGAAGCATGGTTGAGGCGCGCAAGAAAGGCCGCCTTGCACGCCAATCATTCAAATCTCAACCTTGTGCTTGTCGCATGTGTGTCGCAGCGTCTTGCTGCGTGTTGTGACGAAGGTGAGAAAATCTTCTGGGACGTGCGCGTTCTGCATGTTGAGGAGAAAGGCCGGCTTGCAAGCTCACTCCCCCGTATCGCAGTCGTGCTGTTTGGACCGCACTTGTTTTAAGTTTACAAGCCTGAGGTTGCAGGGTTGAGATGCTCAACTCTGGTCTCCTTGGCTGGATGCCACGAGGCTAGCTGTTGGACCTTTCCTGCTCTGATACTGGCAACGTTTACTGCTTGCGTTGGTTCATCAGAAGGTGCTGAACTTTATGAAGTTGGGGTTTGCCGAAAGCGGTGAAGGGTAACGAAGGGTGCCTGATGCAGGCCAAGAAGGCCAAGCTTCCTTCGAGGACCGACCCAACGTGGGGGACGAATTGAAGGCGCCTGATTTTTCAAGTGACCTGGCAACTGGAATTTCCTCTGACCTCCTCATCTGAGAATCTCATGCCACCCTCTTAAACAAAGCTTAAGATCCGTAAGCAAAGCCGCTGAGCCGTTGATTGCAAATTGAGCTGTGTGAGCGAGACGCCAGGTATGTAGAGCCTGCGCATGATGTCTCGCCAAATGTTTCTGTCAAGGTGGAATGCCTGGCCTGCCCGATGCAGCGCGTGAACAAAGAGTCATGGCCTCAGGATTCCTTTGTACAGGCTCCTTCCGCATGTTTACCTTCGTAAAGTTGAACAGTTGTTGTCACCGAGGCAGAAGTACAGCCCTTGGCCAAACCTCTACCGACGCCCCCACAAGGCCAAGTATATTTTTTTTACACATAAGCAGTAATTCTCTGAGCGGATGCTGGGCATCGCTTTGTAGTTGCTCCTCTTGCAGTTATGGTGAGAGTGGCTTAGTGCAGATACACATGTGCTTCTGCCTGAAAAGTCTATTGCAGGCGCAGCCTATCTTCTCCCACTACATGTGGTCACTTGTCTTATCTCAGGCTTTTGCATCATAATATACATATGTATATATATATGTATATATATATAATAGAGCCGATAGACTCGTGCCAGATTCTTCAGCAGCTGCATGAGCTTTGCGGTGTCAATTTGTCTTCCCCGTTGTCCCGATTTCTCGCTATTCCAGGGTGTCCACTTGCACATGTGTCTGCACCTGGGCTCTCAAGTCATGTGTGGATTCAGAGGGAGTTAAGAGAGTGAACCCATTTCTACAACAAACACACCTGATAGCCACCAGCTTGCAATCTTCAAGCTCGTTGGCTTGCAGCAGAGATAATGGAGGCCATACATTCCTCACTGCTCTGGCTCCTACTTAAGGCTGGAGAAGCAGAGGGCCATTGCCAAAGCCCAGGAGCTCGAGGTGTGGAAACCTTGTGCGACAATAGTAGTAATAAACATAGCTATCGTAGTAATAGCAGCCATAATACTTGTAGCAGCTAGAATAGAATTACTTAGATGTTGTTACCTCGTCAGACATGCTGCCCACCTGCACAGGCTGGTATGATCATCGATGCCGTCGCTTGGATGAGATTGCTCTGCGTGTCGTGACGGTCCACCCTTGCTGCTCGCTCTGCGAGACTCAGGTCGTCCACGCGCACTGCCCAAAAGGGCTGGCTGCTTCCCAAGAGTTTCTCTATGCTAGCATAACTACCGATGGGACAGACGCATTCCAAGACAAATTTGAGGTCATGACGCTTGATGGTCCAGAAAAGCCAAAGGGAATGCTGGACATGGTGGACATCTCTCGCAAGGCAAGGGCCTAACTTGTGGTGGACAATCATGGACATCTAAGTCCCCCCATGACATCTGACAGAAATCCGCGCACAAGTGGGTTGACAAGATGTTCCCCATTGGCACGAAGATGAAATGCTACGTTGCAGCTGCCTCAGAGTTCCTTTCCAAAGTTAGCCGTCACTGACTTGGACTTTTTGTCTGGCAGTCCTTTGGTTGCTTTGCAACTGCACATGAGCAGGAGGGTTCCGGAGTGAATATCTCTGGAGACTAGATGGAAGGGTAATCGAGAAGTGCTATGTCACCGCAGTGGAGACTTACTGCAAGATAGCTAGGAGGAAACCTGTGTCCGTATAGTATCTGTGATTGTGTTGTAGTCTTTCTGTCCCAACTTTTTGATAGAAGCTTCCGTTGGGCTTTGTAATTGTAAGGTCCACGCTGACAAGAGGAGTGGTCGCATCACCCTGTCGACGAAAGAGTTCGAAGATGACTATCACGTGCCTCCCCAAGAGAGCTTGCGGCCTCCTGGACCTTGGGAGCACCTGCAGCACGGCAGGTGGGATGGATGCTGAGTTTCCCAGAGCGATGCTTCGAAATGGCTGAGGAGGCAAGCAGATGTTCTGGCATGTTCTTACCTCTTTTGCCAGAACATGCTAGAACGCCAGCCATGTTCTACTATGAAGTAGCTTTGGATGTGCCTCCTAAAAAACGGAACTGTCTTAAATGCTCTCCGCTAAGTAGATCTTTGCTCAACTTGCCTGCGAGGCTGTACAGAGGTATCACCGCAAGCTGGCAGCTCAGGGTGTGGCTCAGGGTGTTCGTGCTACATCTCCACCAGATGCTTATTTTGGAAGCCTGTGTTGTTTGCCATCTCAGGAGGAGCGCCTACATTGCGTGGCTGCAGCGGTGAGGTTGGATGTGTCTCACTTCCTCAATGCGGCCTTGACAGTTTCGGGGTACACTTGCAGACTTTCACAGTCTTTAGCTGGATCACAATCCTTGCGCATCCAACACACAAATAAGTTTTCCATAGGTCTTGCGCTGCTGGAACACAGAGTAGAGATGCAAGAAAAAAGCTATCGCTTCGCATAGGACAGCTTTGCTGGCTGTGAAGGTTAGCAGCCTGGTAACCTGTTGCCGAAATCCGCCAAGCATATCCGAATTCGTCGCCCCTTTGACGATAAATCGGCCAAAAGAAATGCATACTTGCTTCAGTCATGCTTTATTTTCGCCTTTCCATGTTCAGTGTTCTACATCCAGCGCGAGGGTCGGCAGGTTCTGAAACTTCAAGGCATGCAGCTTTAAGAGGTGAACATGGCGACGAGCAATTAGATGGATGAACCTCTCACCTCTACGATCTCGTCCACGAAGAATGAATCGGAATCTAGTTTTCTGTAAGTTGCTGCTGGCTTCAAACATTTTACGACTCTAGCACTCAGCATTGAAGAGTCAAAGCTCCATCCAATCCAATTTTCCATCACTCATTGCAGATTCAACTTGAGAATTGCATGATAGGCCTTCGGCTGAG